TATCGTATTTTCCCTTTTATAATAATTTACAGATAAAGAGTAAAAAATTACGAAAATTATTCAAAGTTAGGCAAATGACCTATAATTATTTATTAGCCGTGGTTTTGCTCGATTTTTAGGGTTCCGTTCCTTAGAATAAAACAAAACCGAAACCCACATACAGTAGAATCCGCTTATAATGATATCGAAGGGAAATGACAAATACGTCATACTAAGCGGGCGTCATATAAAGCGTAGTCTTAGAAAATAAACTAAATTGTATACATTTATTAACAGAAAAAGAAAAAGAACGATGAATTGTAATATCAATATGCATAAGAAGAGCCAGAAAAATGAGCGAAAATGTTATTATTAATCACTTGGGTCACTATAGCCGGATATGATTTCTTGAGAATCAGTCATAATAAACGATATATCATTTTAAACGGAGTCTTTATAACCAAACTTTCCTATAGAGAATTTAATATGAAAACCAAATTTAACACTGCAATAACTTCATATTAAGTGGTTGGTCAGTATAGGCGGAGTCATAATAAACGAATTCCACTGTAGTATCAATTTAAAATTCGTCCTTCTCAGAAATGGCTAAAGGTACAGTAGCAAATTAAAATTAATATCATCTCTGGAGTCTGATCCCGTAAACGCAATAAAAATAGTTAAATCCATATAAAATGTATATTATCGTTAAAAAACCAAAATGAAAACTTCAGTGACTCGTTATAAACCTCCTCAAAATATTTATTAAACCTCTACCAAAATTATAGCATGTTTGCTTATACATACATTAATACATGAATAATCCCTGGAAGGGAAATTGGTGAAAATTTATTTCTTCGAAGAAAAGTCATCTGAATAATTGCATCGTTTATCATTCTATATTCTAAAGTGATTACTCTGTATCAAAAAATTTAATCTTGGAAATGGTTATTTGAACGAAAAGAAAATCCTGACTACCAGTACTTGTACCTTAATGCATTTAAATTTCATTAATGGAAATCCATTTTTAACGAGAACTGAAGATTTGCATTTATATTAATTTCAAAAAAATGTAATAAGGCTTTAAAGCCGACGCTCCCGTGAAAACGCTTATTCCATCTCTAAAACTTTTTGCCAATCGTTTCACGATTGACAATGGCAAGTTGACTGGCAGGAGCGCAGTTTAAGGAAGCGGTAAACAAAAACTCGATTTATAGGAAGAAAACGCATGGCTGTTTTATTAAAAGTCGAAACGGGACCGCAACTTAGAAACAAGACTTTTCGTTTAAACTAAAATACTTGATTTATGACCGAATAGGTTGGTTTACGGTAATAAATCAACTGTTCCCCTTTCACAAGAATTAAACGAAACAAAATCCTACGCCGAGTGACAAGCTTAAACCTTAAAAAATTCATGGTTGCTTTAGTGGAGTTTTCTTTGTTACATAAAGAAGTGCCATCTGCCTTTTTTAAAAACGTGCTCAATAGGGAAAAACTAGGTCATAACAGAACGTGAATGCTTAATATTGTATAATTAATGATGGTTAGTTACACAGTTCAACTCGAATGTATTAAAATGATTTTCAACTACAATAATATTGTTTTCCGGATTCAGTGTCATGGTCCATGGAATTTCGAAGTTCCAAATTGATATCAGCACCTGCCAAATCACCACGTATCATAGTTTTAGCAAGGAACTACGAAATTCCATGAATTACGACAATACAATATCGAATTGATATAAGCCAGCTGTGTAAAATTGAAAACTACAAGATATTGTGGTGTGCTATTAAATGTGTACAATCCAAAATTCTTAGAAATCACTTTGAAAAACTTCACATATTAGATATTGTGGCTAATGATTGCATATAATCCAATTTCTTAGAAAAGGATTGGAAAAAGTTCACTTATTAGATGAACCCAAGGTTAAAAAAACTATGGATTCCATTTCTTTCTCTTTTTAAATGCGTAAAAGATCAGAAACAAAAAAGGGAAATCTATTTTGTATTTTACATCTGAAATAACAAATCAAAAAAGTATTTGCATTTAGTATTTATATACTATTAAAGAACTATTTTGCACATCTCTACAATTGACACCTCATTTTTGGGGGTGCTTGGTCACTACGTAGTTTTTCGTGATAACTAGCCTGCTATTAAATGAATAACAACATCAAATATAAAAATATTTCCCACAGACTGGCACCTCCCTTTCCTTCTACCTTGACACCTTTAACTGATGTTTTTGTTTTTTTGTTTCAAATATGTCCAACTATGTAGTCTTTTTGACTGCATTATATCTGACAAAGTATCCTACTAACTTATCACTCCCATTTCTTTTTCTCTTACCCAATCTAAAACCTCTACATTTCTAACCTTTTGTATTATATTCCTATAATACCACATTCAGAGTCGTACTCCAAATATTAATTTTTCATCAATGTCATTTCTAGTAACAGCTTTTTTATTTTAAGGGCGCTAAACTTACTACTTTTTTGGGGTGCCTTAGGTGCTTAACACCCCCTAGCACTCCTCTAGTTGCGCCTATCTTCAGCTGACAAATTAAAATAAAATAATAAACTAATATACAAATAATGGTAAGCTGCATAAAGTTATTTCTCACAGATTATAACAATTAATGTTTATTAGTAATGAATTATTGAGAATTCCTCTAAACCTTATTCGTTATAGTTTGTCTGTAACGTTTAGGAATAGGTACTTCTGATAATCCGCTTATTTATGGGAATATTTCATTCCTACTATAACTAAAAGCCTAGGGATTTCTAGAAATTAATTTAACAAATACATATATACAGAATAATATATGTACTAGGGTTTTATTACTTGTATAGAATAGACTACACATAAAACCTTAAAAATTGGAAACTTTCCCTCAACATAGAGCAAACTGATGAGCACACTGTAGGTTGTTTGTTATTTTAACTTTATTGTTAAGTCCTAAGTTTTCTCTTTTTTTGTACATGAAATATTTTTAATTTAAATTCATATTTGCAATTTTAAATAGTGTCCAAGTTAGTGACAACAATACCAATTTACATTTTACCTGGGTATTCACAGAACCCTTATAAACTGGAGAAGAAATATTGTATGGCGATTGTGCTCACATTTAATGATAGGGCTTTCCATATTCTGTGTTATATTCAGTTTCTAGCTATTCACCCCCGCTAAAATAATATTCACCAATTTACCTGTTTGTAGATATAGTTGCATAGTACATTAAGATTCAGCATTCACATTTCATCTCTCAAACAAGTAAGTTTTGTTCCAGTAACCACCCAAAAATAGTTTTCTTTGTTGGACGAATTTTGATAGTTTTAATTTAGACGTTGAAGTTTAGTTTTTAGTGATTAGAATAGAAGTTCAATTAAATGTTTTAAATAAAACAGTGAATTTTTATTCTTCATCGAAATCACGATCCAATTTAACTAGTTGCATAAAATTAATTTGGCGTGCAACGTACAACGTTTGTACATTTATATTGTTATTTATTCCGCAACGGAATAATAAATTGAAATTGTTATAACAATTAATTAATAATTTAGCTAAGAATTTTTATTAAATCGAGCGCTTATTAAATTTTCTTTGAAACTCAATAAAACTGCTGCGCTCCGTTAAAAACGGTAATAAGGGAAGACAGAGAATAAGTCAGTGTGAGTTATCTTTTAATCTAATTCATCATCGGTTTGTTAGCACGAACTCTGCAGTACAAGCAAAAATTCCAAGAGTTCTTTTCAGTTATTAATTATTTTTCGAAGCTGTCTTTAATTAGAACCACTTTCGAAACAAAAGATTTTTTGTAAAGTCTAACAAAAACCTGTATTTAATTGCCCATACATATTACCCCAGCTGTAACGGTAAAACGAGAATTTAAAAATGCTTTAAAATGCAAATATAAACTCGGTCAGCTTTTAATTTTTAAAGTTTCGCTGAAAGATGACGTATAAAGTCAGTTATAGGTAACCAAAAGAGCTTTTTAAGTAAACTCCAAAATACATTTTATATAATAGCCGTGTCTATTTATTAACGCTTTTTTTAATTAAAAAAAAGAAAAACCTTTGATAATTTTTCAACTGGGAAATAATATGATTATGAGTACAAATTTCTAAAAATAAATAACAGGGAAAATCGAACTGAAACGGATTACGTTGTTTTCAAAAGCATCACCTAAATCCTTCCTCTAATGGCGCTTGTTCCAAACCAACAGCTTTTCGGATAGAAAAGCTGACGCTTGTAGCTAACCCATATAATCCCCTTATGTCATCGTGGTGGACCTGGAAAAGTAGAAAAATAATCTTTAATGAACATTCTCGTTAAAAGTATTTCGCAGTTTTGTAATTTCAAACTAAAGATCGCATAAATGAAATGTAGATTTATCATTAACTTCGTGATATAACACACGTTCTAACTACGTTAATTAAAAACTTTTAGTATGGATTAAGGAACAACTTTTTTCATTTAAATACAAAATATGAGACTGTGACAAAAAAATGAGTCCCTTTTTTGATTAACAAAAATCGTTTGGTTACACTCAAAAAACTAATTTTATAATAGCTTACTAATTTTAACGCTATATTAACGGTAAATATTATAATTTGGTAAAATTTCATAAACGTACTGGGTTCATTCTCAAAGATGGCATAGATTCCTATGAAAGCTAAGAAAACGACCGCACATTAAGCAAAATATTGCTATTAAGTAAATAATAACTTTGCATCCCTAATGTTAGCAAATCTCAATTTTTGTCATTTGCCTCTCCTTATACTAATTTATATTTTACTCAATTTGAGTTTATTTATTTTCATCAACATAAATAAAATATCAGAAGATATTAATTGTTTAATTAAGCATTATCTTTAATGATGACATTTTAAAACCAAAAATATAATTACATTAATAGAAACAGGGGAAGTACAGAACAGAATTAACAAAAATGTTATCTCGTCTCTGATTGCTGAGACACGAACGAAATTGTGAATACAGAGACGCATTCTGTTTACGCCGGTATCCGTGTCAACTTTTACGTCAAGTAAAAGAGGTTAGTTTAATATTTTAGACAGAATTCGTTAGAAAATATGGTTTCTTTACAAAATATCGATTGTGTATTCACTGTAATTTAAATTTCAAGTGTTGTTGTGTACTTCTGTTATATATTAAACATAGAAACTGAAGATATGCGACCAATTTCATTCAGTGTTTAGAAAGGCAAAATATTTATTTTTATACTTGTCTCAGCCTGCAGTCTGTTCAGTTTATTAAAGAACTGTTTGATTTATAAACTGCAAGTATGGTTGTTAGCATTGTTGGAAGAAGAACGAGATTAGTTCGCATCTTAATAATTGCAGTTATTGCGCTAGGATTGATATTCTTCCTAATGCCGAAGATGTCTCAAAATTATGACAATTCGCTGGTAGGGAGCAAATATTTAAAAGAAAGATCGAAACCAGTCCTTGTAACTAACCTTGGAAATTTTGAACCTAAAGAAGTAAATAAAAAGGATGGACCTGGAGAAGGAGGTAAACCTCATTATTTAAGAGATGACCAACAGAATGATGCAGATGAATCAGAATCAGAATATGGCATGAATATTGCATGTTCAGATGAAATTTCACTAGACAGAAATATTCCTGATACTCGAATGAAAGAATGTAGACATTGGAATTATCCAACTGATTTACCAAAAACAAGTGTTATAATTGTGTTTCATAATGAGGGTTGGTCAGTATTACTCAGGACTGTGCATACTGTGATAAATCGTTCTCCTCCAACTGTTCTTGAAGAGGTTCTTCTTGTGGATGATTACAGTGATAAAGAAAACTTGAAGAGTGACTTAGATAATTATATAGAGCAGTTCAATGGTAAAGTTCGATTAATAAGAAATACAGAAAGAGAAGGTCTTATTAGAACTAGATCTAGAGGAGCAAAAGAAGCAAAAGGAGAAGTTATAGTATATTTAGATGCCCATTGTGAAGTAAATGTTAACTGGCTACCGCCACTTTTAGCTCCAATTTACAGGTAAGCTTATATTTTTACTTAATTAAAATTCAATAAGTAGTAAAAATTTTTCCACAAACAGTTTTTTGTTCAATTTCCATTGTTTCACATCGTTAAATTTTATATCAAAATATCTAAAAACTTGATAAGGATGTTTATGGCTGTAAACAGATTGAATAATATTTGCAATATGAATGATGTCATCAAAATCTCAATACACAATTGTACTATTCAGTTTATTCCAAATTGAAATTTTGGGAATTTTTCCTTTCATATAATAATTTTGGTACCTCAAGGTCCAAGACACATTCAATATTGCTTACATAATTTGAATTAGAAAATAATAAACAAAATTTTTAATTAAGACCTTTTAATTTTAGAAAATTCGTTTGTTTTCAGGGACCGTACTGTAATGACAGTCCCTATAATTGATGGAATTGATCATAAGACATTCGAATATCGTCCAGTTTATGGAGACAGTCGTCATTATAGAGGTATATTCGAATGGGGTATGTTATACAAAGAGAATGAGGTTCCAGACCGTGAACTTTCCAAAAGAAGTCATAACAGCGAACCTTATAAAAGCCCTACCCACGCTGGAGGACTTTTTGCCATTAATAGACAATATTTCTTAGAATTAGGCGCCTACGATCCCGGATTATTAGTTTGGGGAGGTGAAAATTTCGAACTTAGTTTTAAGATTTGGCAATGTGGAGGTAGTATTGAATGGGTACCGTGTTCTCGAGTTGGTCACGTTTATAGAGGATTTATGCCTTATAATTTCGGAAAGTTAGCTCAAAAGAAGAAAGGGCCTTTGATTACGATCAATTATAAGCGTGTAATCGAAACATGGTTTGACGAAAAATATAAAGAATTCTTTTATACACGAGAACCAATGGCTAGATTTTACGATATGGGTGATATTACAGAACAAAAATATCTTAAAGAGCGGCTAAAATGTAAAAATTTCGACTGGTATATGGAAAATGTGGCGTATGATGTGTATGAAAAATTCCCAGAACTACCTCCGAATCTCCACTGGGGTGAGTTACGATCTGGGGCAACCGATAAATGCCTAGATACTTTGGGACACGGTCCCCCATCCCTTATGGCTGTCCAACATTGTCATGGTTATGGAAATAATCAACTAATTAGGTTGAATGCAAAAGGCCAACTTGGGATCGGTGAACGGTGCATCGAAGCCGACTCTCAAGGAATAAAGCTGGCCTTTTGTCGACTTGGAACAGTGAACGGACCATGGATTTATGACGAAGGTACACACACCCTTCTTCATAGGGTTCACAAAAAGTGTATGGCCCTACATCCTCAAACATCACATCTGTCTTTAATGCCCTGCGATGTTAATAACACTTATCAGCAATGGTATTTCAAACAAATTCAACCCAGGTTGTGAAAATAATTTAGACAATACATAAAAATTATTTAAAGTATTTCTTTTAATCTTATTCTCTCTAATAGAGATGACATTTAAATTTTATATATATACTGGTGTATGTGATACATGCGACAAAATTTGAATGGGTATTTATTTAACTAACTTATTACTCAAATATATGTTCTTATTAGTGCGTTAACAAGATAGTATCTATAGCTGGGTGAACTGCTCCAGAAGTTTTATGTCTCATTTTTTTTAATGCAGATTACTATTACTGATCCTTATTTACCCCAAAGTATTACGCCAAAAGTTGCACTGATTTATCTGTAAACTTTTCGCTGTTGAATGAATGTTAATACAAAAGAAAAAGCATTTCTCGTAAATATAGTTGTAATGTTTATAAAGACATTAGATCTAAGCAGTTAAATAGTTATCAAAAATAACGCACCTGCTTTCTTTCCTATTCTGAGCTAAACTTAGTATTTCCCTAAAACTAGAACATCCCACATCCTATCTATTTGCGAACAGTAATCTAATCTAGGTCTACCTCTACTCCTCTTAACTCTTATTTCGGCCTCTAATATTCTCTTACCAGACATTCATGCCTGAGAAGGTGTCCTACCAACCTATCTCGTCTATTTTTTATTGACTTCCATAGAGTCCTCTATTCTCCTACTCTTTCCAATACCTCTTCATTCTTAACTTTCTCTATCCACTGTATCATCATCATTCGCCAGTAACACCACATTTCGAATGCTTCTAATCTTTTCTTTTCCGCTACGCCCACCATCCATGATTCGCACCCGTACAGCGCCGCACTCCAAACATACACCTTTGACAATCTTTTTCGAATTTCTGAATTAACCGTTTGCTAGCATAGAAATGCCTTCTTTTTATTGAAGACGACTCGACCCTGCGTTATCCTCTGCTCTATATCCCTACTTACCTGACTTCCTAGATACCTAAAATCAGTCACTTCTTCTAATTTTTCGCCTCCTATCTTGATCTCTAGCTCCCCCTTGCTTGATTCTAGTACTGCTATATCATCTGCAAATCTAAGCACACTAATCTTTTGCTGCTGTATACCTATCCCTACATTTGTAATGTCTGTAATGATGTTGATCTAAAACTAAAACATCCCACATCTCTAAGCATTTGCGAGCAGTATTCTAATGTAGGTCTAGCTCTGCCCTTCGTAAATTCTATTTTTCTAAAGCACATCAGTTTTCATAGCATTTTGGAAACTTCTTTCCAAAAGTATGTACCTATTAAATATCTCCAGTAAAAGGCAGAAAGCAACAATATAAATGGCTCCAGTAGATCACATTCGGTGGTTATTTTCCTTGTCTCGATGTGAAAGGAGACCATCGGTGTTAGTTGCTTGTTGTTCGGTATCCTGAATAAGGCATCTTTCACTATTCCAAACTGATACCTTTGGAGTTACATCGTCGTATCCGCTTTTTTAATGTAAGAGAAGGGTACCGTCCGCGTCCGTTGTTGTATTGCAGCAGCTCTCTTGGAAATACCAAAACGACATCAAACATTAACAAGATTGGAAGGGGAGGTTAAAATGTATGTCGTCGGTATCCAGATAAAAGCGGCCGCGTTCCCGGCTTCTTGTTCAGCAAACACCAGGCGAAAGTAACCAACGACGAGAACCGACGGCTGAAAATTACTATGCACCATTGAAAGGCGCTTTTTTCTGGAACGTCTCTCTGCAAACGTCTTATTTAGCGATGCTCGCCGGGGCCTCGGAACTGGAAGCTATTTAGCGTCACTTTATCTACAGACGGTATCTCCTTTTTCAGTATAATTATATCGTAGCAAGCTTTGTCNTAACTAATAATTAAAAAAATTGGTAATAGTGTTGTGATAAAAAACAGTTTTCCCAATGAATTAGAATGTTTTATTATTATATTTAATAATCAATTTATAAAGCAAATCCAAAGTCAATTTTCTATGTCATTCACGTTTCGATAAACTTTATAATAATTTCAAATATTCTCTTTATTACAAACACAATAATGTAATATTTAAATTCATTTACATACAATAGGTATGTACAAATTATTATTGTTAAATAAACAATCGTAACGGTTCAATTTTGTTATTAATCGGAACGGAGCTTTTTAAGCTTTTAATTTAATTTGGTTTTCTTTCATTTATTTTTTAGAATTATTTATATAGCAAATATTATTTATTCTCTATCTGACCACGTTTGTTCGAGTTCATAGTTTATTGTTATACAAAAAAGCAAAAAATGACTTCAAGATTAGGAAGAAACCCAACGACTGTAGCATAAACGGATTTCTAATTTAAATATTAAAACATTCAGGGAAAGAGGTTAGAGATCGTATGTTTAGACTAGTTAGTCACATTTACGAGACGGGGGAAAGTCCCGGAAGACTAAACGGATTGTGGTAGTAGCTATACTGAAAAAGAGGGGGGCGACTAGCGATGTAAAACATTCAGAACTAGAAATGTACAGAGAGGAATGGAAAAAAGAGCGGAAGAGCTATTAGGGGAAGTGGTTTAAAGGAAATAGAGGAATGCGGAAAGTCATTCTAGCTTTACGGAAAAACGATAGAACAAGAGCACGTACATCGGATTCATTATTTTTTTTTTGGAAAATGCATTCGATAATGTTAAATGGGACGATATGTTAAATATACTTAAAACTGTTGGGATAAGATGCAAAGATAGAAGAGTGATACGTACTTTGTAAAAGAAGCAACAGGCAGTTACAGAGCTTGAGCAGCAATGTAGAGGTGTAAATATTGGGAAGGGAGACAGATAAGGATGCACACTCTCACTGCTACTTAAATCATTAAAAACAAGGCAACTTTAGGGATAGATATACAGCGGTAAAAAAATAGTATCCATAAATTTGTAGATTATATATCAGTATTAGCACCTAGGAAAGAGGAGTTAGAGATAGTGTCAAATAGAATGGAAGTGATATTGACAAAAGAGGATTGTATGAAAGTAAATAGAAGTAAAACAGAAATACTGATTTCAAGGAAAGGAAAAGCAGGGAAAGAGCGAATATAAAGATACAAGACGAAAAATTAGAAGATGTGACTAATTTTCGGTATCTAGGAAGTTAGATAACTCAGGATGGAAGGAGAAGCAGAAGTATAACCCTAATAGCGGAGGGTCAAGTCGCCTTCAACAAAAAAAAAATGCTCGCCGACGATTAATTTAGAAATTCGAAGAACATTGTTGAAGGTGTACGTTTGGAGTGCGGCGTTGTTTGAGTGCGAAACATAGATGGTGGGTGCGGCGGAAAAGAAAAGGTTAGACGCGTTTGAAATGTGGTCTTACAGGCAAATGATGGGGATACCGTGGATAAAGAAAGTTAGAAATGATTTTAGCTTAGATTACTGTTCACAAATAGTTAAGGATGTTGAATGTTTAGTTTTAAGGAAATACGAAGATTAGCTCAGGATATAAACAAGTGGAGTTGCGTGTCCAGCCAGACTTAGGACTGACGACCTTATGATGTTGAATTTAAAAAAAATATGGTCATTATTGTAAGCTCTAGGAAGACATCGTTACTGGGAAATAGTTTTCTATTGTTTTCGTTCGTGTTCTCACAGATTAATTATTAAAAGTCAGCACGTCACTGTAATCACCGTCACCATTTGTCTATTAATATTCAAACATTTGATCGAGTACCGTTACGATTGTGCCACGTCTGGGAGGTACAAAAACGTGCGAAACTAATAAAAATCACGCTGCGATCGTTAATATATCAGTAGAAGTTATGTACCGGAAATTATTCGCACGCCGTATTTGCGATTGAATACTAATTAAAAAATGGTAACTAAATTAAGTCCATTTATGTGTTGATCTGTGTGCATTCTATCACGCACCTCGTGTGAGAATTGCTCATGGTGAAGAATTGTGATTAATAAGGTATTGCATAACTTTACTTCTCATAACTTTACTTCCCAAGACGCAAATTTTCTTGCTTCCCTGTAAAACTACTGTACACAGGGTGTTCCCTAGTCAAATCATTGGAAAGATGTCCAAAAAAATCATTTGATACTAATATTCAATGACGGTTAGTACCTAAAGAGAAAAACATTTGTTTCTTATTAATTTCGTAATATATTCAAGTTTATATTCTGGCAAATATAATAAAAAGGGTCAATTTGTACAGGTTTGCGAGATAATCCATTTAAGGAACCCATGGAGAAAAAACAATTAATCAAGATATAATTGCAGTCACACAAAGTCAACACATAAATTAAATTAATATTTCTAAATACACAGTTAGAGACGTAGTTGCTCTAATTTTACAGAAATGTCAAGATTGTTTCACGATAGGAAGAAGTAGAGGTTCAAGTTACATCTTCGAATTGACAATCCTATGATGATGATTTGGACTCTTCCTCTCAGTAGTTTCGACGTTTCTTTAAATGTACAGCGAATACCATCATTCTCTGGGAAAACCTTTTGTCAAAAGCGTTTTAATGTTTGAATACCTATTTAAAACTCCTTTCGTTTCACCAAAATTAGTGGAGATCAAAATATATTTTTTTTTCTAGTTCATTTCATTTTAATTGTACTTTTTATACTTTACTTGCGACCAAACACGACCCAACGATCCACTTTGAGGACAAAGGCGGAGATGATTGAAACTCATCGAAGATAAGCATCGAGTCTGCAGCCAGTACCGATCCTAGGCTGTTGGCTGTCGATGTAAAATCCACCTGAGCTGAGCCTAAGCTGTATTGGAAATAAGACAAGGGTAGGTAAATGATCATGTGGGTAGAATTGCTGGTAAAAAATAGCTATTCGTACCGTAGAATATAAAACTAATGAAAAGTTAACGCTTTTGCTGTTTCCTTCTTGTGGGTCCTTGCGCTTAGTAAACGTCTAAGAAAACAAGTCTCATTCGGGGCTTGAAGACGCCCTCTAGCCCGGAGTGTGCCGCTATCCCGTTCACCCCTTCCTCATGCTACTAATGAAACCTAGTTCTTCGAAAACCTTACGCCAAAATAATTTCGGTTTCTTGCCTTATTAGTATTTTATTCAACTCTAAGGACATTATCATTAGGTTGTCAGTCCTAAAACTAGTTGGACACGCACCTTTACCATTTCCTATCCTCAGGTAATCTTCGCATTTCCCTAAAACTAAAACACTAAGGTCAAGAACATCTAGGCAAATTTTTGTTATATTGTTATCTCTCTGTCCCATACAATAGATGCATAATTTAATAATAATTTTTTTATTTAAGTTGGACAATTCCTTGATCATGTAGAATGTACAACGTCCATTCCAACAGGGCGGAAACGGCTCAATTAAGTACTTTACAAATTATGTTCTTTTGATCTGTTGAATCATTTTTATGGGATCGAAAGTCCTCTTAAAATTTTCGTTACATAACAAGATTTCGGCGCATTTTGTCTTTTGTTTTA